TAGGGTGTAGTTCGAGGTAATAGAGTTAAAAGAGTATAATATGTGAAAGTGAAAATAAGTATTATGGAATTCCCACTTTTATCGATGTAACTAGCTGCTTTAGATAAATCAAAACCATTGAAAATATGAAGGAGCTTGAATTCATGTATTTATATTATGAATACTATTGTTGACCCTGTTTTTAGTGGTGATTATGTGAGCAATAGATGTCGGGTCAACTAACATTCACGTAAGCAAATTTTAACACATTTTGATTGAAGACTTGGTCGGAGGAGATTACCACATGGAGATGGAAAATGTTTTATGATGCAAGATAAAAATGTTCAAACAATCGACAATATGATAAAAAACGGTTTAACATAGTCAACCAAAATGAAGACATGCCAAACTCAAGCCCAATGACTGTGGAATAATTAAGAGGATAGAGTGTGGTTTTTAGCATATAGAGTTGCATTATGAACAAATTTTACGAGCATTTGTTATTTATAGGGTTCCAGTTGAGGTGATTGCCACTACATTGGAACGACATGGTTTCATCTCTCAGGTCGAAATCACATCACTCAGTCTACCATGCATCTATTACGCATTTAATACATTGACAATGGACCAACCATCCTACATCTTAGATTGACAATTCTAATATTCATTATTACAAACGTTACATCATTTATTTCTAAAAATTGCCTAGATATCCTTTTAAAAGACAATAAGGGCTTCAACCAAAGGAAGACGACTTCTAATTCGAAGGGGGGCTTCAAACAACATAGTGAGGAGCTTCGGGGCATGAGCATCGGCTTTGTCTTTGACTTTTTTATGATTGATTGTTGACTTGGTCAAATTTGCTCTCCTCTCTATGCTCCACATGGTTTGCGATGTGGCCTTCATTGTAGCCTCAGTGACAAGGTGTAAGAATAGTCCCTTAAGTATTTGCATGATCATTCACGTATTGCATGGATTGTATAAAAAAAATTTGTTGGAGGGGTAATTATTTGGACATCACAATAGTCTGTTAAGTCTAAATATAAATATTTATATTATAATTAGAATTTGGAAGTAGAATTGCATTTTTTGAAGCGTCATGAACATGAGGCGCCCTTAATTATTGCACCCAAATGATTTGCTATCGAATGTTTTCAAGAAAAGACAATTGGGACGGTTCAACTTTTCAAACACGCAACAGTCATCGCATTTAATGAGTAATGATGAGCGTTGCAAGTGGTTCCTTGAACAATAGACATTAGGTGCGCTTCAACTTTCTGATCTGAATCGTAGAATTTGAAATGTCAAACATTGTGTTCGGTTCAAATTGGGCCTTAGATGAACGTTTTGATTGTTCGGATCGAAGTCCAATGGTTAAGTTGGTGACCTTGGCCTATAAAAGGCTACGATTTTGGAAAAAATAATCTTTACTTTTGTTGTTTAGAAAAATCAGACCTTCAAAAGCCTTCAATCCCTACTATACTTTGTAACTACAATTTGAAATTTTCCAGCCAATTTTAATAATTCCAGCGATTAGTATAGTGCCTTTATTCATCAAATATTTCCTTCAACAAACTTTGTCCTTTGTTTCAAAAATGTCGCCTACGTCTTTTGAGGGAGGGCAAACCAACATTGAAATTGTAGCTGCAGAAATGGGAGTTACCATAACCAGTACTATCAACCTTGACCATGCATCCTACCTATGTGGGAGGGTCATATGGATTATGACTCAAGTTGGGTGCAACCAAAATTTCTTCAAACATAACTGCATCCCACTTCGTAGATTTGAGGGAAAAGTACTGTATTCTCTACAACATCGAACTCTTAGCTCCATTCCTTAACGAGCGAGCCCGCTATCCTAGGCAGGGGTGTGTCACCGTCAATGAGTTTCTTCTGAAGGGGGGACTTCGTTTGCCCCTTCATCCTTTCTTTAGAGCCATGTTTAGGTTGTATGGGTTAGCACCTACCTAACTCGTCCCCAATGCTTAGGCCCAATTAGTGGCCTATTTCCTTCGAAAAGAAACCTCTCTTGGTGAGGATATGTTTTTCCATGTCTTCCAAACCATTTTCCAACATAGGGTCTTAGGTAAAGGGGATTCTAAGGATTGGTACTCCTAGTGTCCTTGGGAGCCCATTCTTATTTTGTCATAGGCCTCCCTTCCTCCATTAAGGAGTGGAAGGTAACTTCGTTTTGGGTCAGAGGGCAATGACGGACATTTGAGGGCAAAAATGTTCCTATGTGGCAATGCCAACCAGTTATTCTGAAGAAAGTGAGTGTTTGATTTTTTATATTTCTATTTCCCAACTTTGAATCAATTCTGACACTTTCTCACTGCTACAGGATCAGTTGGATCGCTTCGACTTGTCCTAAATAGAACTGGGCGTTATAGAGGACATCTATCTACATCATCAATGTTCATGAGAGTTTGACCGTTTGATTAACTTGAAGCAGTTTTTTAGGAGTTCGATTTATTGGCTCGGAAAGGTAACATTTTACTAGGAAATCTCTTAACTTGTTATTGCAAGTGACTTATATTGATCTTCTGTTTCTATTTGCAGATAATTTTGAGATGAGGAGGCATCTTACCGCTGACATGGCCTCAATCATTGCTACTACCTTCTACTGTTGGAAGTGCAAAAGAACAAGTAGAAAAGATCAGTAAGGATGCTGATTGGAAGGAAAAAGGGCTACCTCCCGCGAAGGATAAAAGGAAGAATAAAGTGGATGAGGTCCCCAAGAAAAAGCATAAGTTTTCTTCTACCGAAGCGGAGGTCAATGGCCATCCCATCGCCTCGATCCAAAATCCCAAAAGAAAAAAATTGATGACGGCCTCATTGTCATAGCCAAGGTAAGGCGGAAGAGGTGAACCATTGTGGAACCCGCCAGGCAAGAATCATTGAAGAAGGGGAAGACATCAGGTGACTCTTCAACCGCTTTAGATATAACTCCATGTCTTAAGCTCTCATTGTCTAAAAGGAACAACAAACTGGCTCTAGAGGTTCTGTCCATGCTTCCTCCAGAGATCCAAACTGTTTTCATAAGCACTGAACGTATATGTGGTAGACCTTTTTGGAGACTAATGATTAGGTGGACATGTTTACCACCATGGTGAGTCAGACATGAAAAGTTTTCGGAGTCACCATAGAGGTTGTAGTCCTCTTTAAAAACCTTCAAAAAAAGAATGGGAAATTTTTAAATGAGGCATTCCAGTGGGAGGAGGAGGCTAAGAAAGCCCAAGTCTGAAGGTGAGGCTGCCGGAAAGGAGCAAGCTAAGGAAGCTAAGAAGCTCGCTTCTGCTTTAGTAGGAATTGAAATTTTGAAGAAAGAAGTCCACCTATCTCAAAGGGAGGTGGCTTCTCTTACCAAACAAGTCGAAACCTAGGACGCCCACCAACAAATAGCTGTTGAGGCCTAGGAAACGTCAAATAAGGAGAATGTTGCCTTAAAGCAGCAGGTAGGAAAGCTTGGCTCTAAAATTTTGGCTTGACGGAGAAGGTGGAGATGGCGAGAAAGGAAGCTCAATCTGCTGGTGATGATATCGTGAAATAGTATATTGCCAACTTCCATCTGATTGAGGAGTATCAACGATTTTTGAAATACCGACGAAGATATGCACATACTGAAGTCGTGAAGTTGATTAAGGTGAACTCTTAAACTTCAATACCTCCAAGTTATGGTCGGAGTTTTTAGAGGAAGAGGAACAGAGAGAGCCTAAGACTCTGGCAGAGGGCAGCCACGGAAAGCTTCGCTCTAAAATTTTGGCTTGACGGAGAAGGTGGAGATGGCGAGAAAGGAAGCTCAATCTGCTGATGATGATACTGTGAAACAGTATATTGCCAACTTCCATCTGATTGAGGAGTATCAATGATTTTTGAAATACCGGAGACGATATGCACATACTGAAGTCTTGGAGTAGATTGAGGTACACTCTTTAACTTCAATACCTCCAAGTTAAGGTCAGAGTTTTTAGAGGAAGAGGAACATAGAGAGCTTAAGACTCTGGCAGAGGGCAGCCATGTAATAGAGCTTG